GGGCACGCCCCGCTGGGCTGGCGGCAGCGCCAGGAGCCACCGCGGGGTGTCACCAGCACCGCGGCCAAACCTGTCCCGGGAGGTCCCTCCGTGTCCCCTCCGTGGGGACATCCCTGGGCAGGGACACCCAGGGCTGGCCCCCGTCGTTAATGGATCTCACAGCAATTAATGGGATCTCACAGCTCACTCATTAATGGGATCACACAGCTAATTAATGTGATCACAGTGCTCATGCATTAATGGGATCTCACAGCTTGTTAATGGGATCTCACAGCAATTAATGTGATCATACCCATCATTAACAGGATCTCACAGCTCGTTAATGGGATCACGCAACTCACTCATTAATGGGATCTCACAGCTCGTTAATGGGATCTCACAGCTCATTAATAGGATCTCACAGCTCGTTAATGGGATCACACAACTCATTAATGGGATCTCACAGCTCGTTAATGGGATCACACAACTCACTCATTAATAGGATCTCACAGCTCGTTAATGGGATCTCACAGCTCGTTAATGGCATCACACAGCTCGTTAATAGGATCTCACAGCTCGTTAATGGGATCTCACAGCTCGTTAATGGGATCTCACAGCTCATTATTGGAATATCAGAGCTCATTAATGGGATCACACAGCTCACTCATTAATGGGATCTCACAGCTCCTAAATGGGATCACAGAGCTCATTCATTAACGGGATCTCATAGATCATCAACAGGATCACAGAACTCATTAATGGGATCTCACATCTCAATAATTAATGGGATCTCACAGCTCGTTAATGGGATCCTGCAGCTCACTCATTAATGGAATCACAGACCTCACTCATTAATAGGATCTCACAGTCCATTAATAGGATCTCACAGTTCGTTAATGGGATCCCAGAGCTGTGGGATCTCATTAATTAATGGGATCATTAACTAATGGGATCTCACAGCTCATTAATGGGATCCTGCCGCCCCCCGAGCCTCCCCGTTGTCCCGCGTGAGCCCGGCCCGGGCTGTCCCCGTGGGAACGGGCGGGGCCGGGCTGAGTCAGGGCCAAGGAATCCCCGCGGGCGCGGCCGGGCCGTGACTCACCCGGGGCGAGCCGAGCCTGGCCAAGCCGGGCCGTGACTCACCCGGGGGTGCGGGGCGAGCCGGGCTGAACCGGGCCGGGCCGGGCGCAGCTCCCCCGGGACCCCCGAGATCCGGGCTCGGCCACTCCTATTTTATTTTATTTTATTTTATTTTATTTTATTTTATTTTATTTTATTTTATTTTATTTTATTTTATTTTATGCCAAATTTTTTCCACACCCAGGAGGCCCTTCAATTTTATTTTATTTTACTTTATTTTATTTCAATCATTTAATCATCATTAAATATATATATATTTATAGTTACAGTTATAGTTATAGTTATAGTTATAGTTATAGTTATAGTTATATAAATATTTATATTTATATAAATATTTTTATAAATATATATATTCATATATTAAATAATAGTGTACATTATGTAATGAAATAATTTTGGGGACCAATTCCCCAGTTTGTGTCCCTTTCCCAGCCCTGGAGGAGAAGGGGGGACAGGGAAGGTCTGGTTTGTCCCCCAAAGGGGATGCCCCGTGTGGGATAGCAGAGAATTTGGGGTGTTCTGTTCCCCAAATGTGCCCGGGAAAAGGGGCAGCTCGTTAATGGGGTCACAGAACTCGTTAATGGGATCTCAGTGCTCACTTATTAATGGGATCACAGAGCTCATTAATGGGGTCTCACAGCTCATTAATGGGATCACACAGCTCACTCATTAATGGGATTACAAGGCTCATTAATGGGATCACAGAGCTTACTAATTAACGGGATCTCACAGCTCATTAATAGGATCACACAGCTCATTGGGATCACACAGCTCACTCATTAACGGGATCTGACAGCTCATTAATGAGATCACAGAGCTCATTAACGGGATCACACAAGTCATTAATAGGATCACACAACTCATCAATGGGATCTCACAGTTTCCTCGTTAATGGGATGACAGAGCTCATTAACAGGATCACATAGCTCGTTATCAGGATCACATAGCTCATTAACAGGATCACACAGCTCGTTACACAAAAATGAGGCGTGGGTGAAACCCAATGTGAGGATCAGCCGGGCATGTGGGGGCTGCCCTGGGGGCAGTGCCACCCACCCTGTCCCACCCTGTGCCACCCTCCCGGGCTATAAATCCCCTCCGTGCCCCACTACCCCATCCCAACCCTTGAGGAACTGATCCACGCTCAACCGGTGAGTCCCCGCTCCCTTTATTCCTTCCAACACCCCAAAATCTGCCCAGAAGCTGATGGCACCCCCCGATCTGTGTCCCCAGGTGTCCCCATGGCGTGTCCCCTGGAGCAGGCCATGGCCCTCATGGTCACCACCTTCCACAAGTACTCGGGCAAGGAGGGCGACAAGTACAAGCTGAGCAAGGCCGAGCTCAAGGAGCTGCTCAACAAGGAGCTGCCGGTGTTCGGGAGCGTGAGTGGCCTTGGGGACATCCCGGGGGTTCCTCGGGGGATGGAGGGGCAGGAATGGACCAGTCCTGGGTCTTTCTTTGGGTCTTTGTCCTAGGTTATTGTCGTGGGTCTTTTCTCTTGGGTCTTTTCTCCTGGGTCTTTCTCTGGGTCTTTGTCCCAGGTCTTTGTCTTGGGTGTTTGTCCTGGGTCTTTGTCCTGGGTATTTCCTCCTGGGTCTTTTTTCTCTGGGTCTTTGTCCTGGATCTTTGTCCTGGGTCTTTGTCCTGGGTCTTTCTCTGGGTCTTTGTCCTGGATCTTTCTCTGGGTCTTTGTCCCGGGTCTTTGTCCTGGGTCTTTGTCCTGGGTATTTCCTCCTGGGTCTGTCTTTCTCTGGGTCTTTGTCCCAGGTCTTTGTCCTGGATCTTTTCTCTCCTGGGTCTTTTTCTCCCAGGTCTTTCTGTGGGTCTTTTTCTCCCAGGTCTTTGTCCTGGGTCTTTTCTCTCCCGGGTCTTTCTTTCTCTGGGTCTTTGTCCTGAATCTTTTCTCTCCTGAGTCTTTTTTCCCAGGTCCTTCTTCCAGGTCTTTCCTCCCGAGTCTTTTTTTCTCCAGGTCTTTCTCTGGGTCTTTTCTCCCGTGTCTTTTCTCCCCGGTCTTTGTCCCGGGTCTTTTCTCCTGCGTCTTTCTCCCGGGTCTTTCTCTGGGTCTTTCCTCCCAGGTTTTTTCTCTCCCAGGGCTTTCTTTCTCCTGGGTCTTTTTTCTCCTGGGTTTTTTCTCCCAAGTCTTTGTCCCGGGTCATTCTCTGGGTCTTTTCTCCTGGGTCTTTCTCCCAGGTCTTTCCTCCCAAGTCTTTTCTCCCAAGTCCTTCTTCCAGGTCTTTCCTCTCCTGGGTCTTTTCTCCCAGGTCTTTCTCCTGGATCTTTTCTCCGAGGTCCTTCTCCCTGGTCTTTGTCCCTGGTCTTTCCTCCCAGGTCTTTGTCCTGGGTCTTTTCTCCCGGGTCTTTTTTCTCCCATGTCTTTCTCTGTGTCTTTCTTCTGGGTCTTTCCTCCCGGGTCTTTTTCTCCTGGGTCTTTCTCTGGGTCTTTTCTCCCAGCTCTTTTCTCCCAGGTCTTTTCTCCTGGGTCTCTGAAATTCTGAAATCCCTGGAGAACAGGAGGAACGAGGTCTGGAGAGGCTCAGCCCCAAAGGAAATTCGGCTTTTTTTAAACCCACAGAAATATTTTGTTTGGCAAAGGCAATCACGCTCCCATTTCCCTTTTTTTCATAATTTCTTTTTTTAACCCTCACTTCCCTTTCTCAGCTTGTGGTTTCAACTGGGAGGCAAAATTTTTTTTTTTAATTTTTTTCTTGCCAAATTTTTCCATGCTCCGGAGGCCCTTCAATTTGATTATTTTATTTTATTTTATTTTATTTTATTTTATTTTATTTTTTGCCAATTTTTTCCACACCCAGGAGGCCATTATTTTAATTTAATTAAATTTTATTTTATTTTATTTTATTTCGTTATTTTATTTTATTTTAGCCAAAATTTTCCACACCTGGGAGGCCCTTTAATTTAATTTTATATTTTATTTTATTTATTTTATTTTATTTTATTAAATTTTATTTTATTTTATTTTATTTTATTTTATTTTATTTTATTTTATTTTATTTTATTTTATTTTAATATTTTTGCCAAATTTTTCCACATCCAGGAGACACTTCAAATTTTTTTTTGTTTTGGCCAAATTTTTCCACACCCGGGAGGCATTTTGGCAATTTGGGCCCTGCCCATCTCATCCACCAAGGCCAAAACCCGTCCCTGAGGCAGAGGAGGGCAGCGGGGCGGGGAAGGGGCGGCCCCATCCCTCCAACCCTGCCCCAAACCCTCTCTCCGGACAGAAACAAATGGACGAGGCCGAGTTCAAGCGGCTGATGAACGACCTGGACCACAACAAGGACAGCGAGGTGGATTTCAAGGAGTACGTTTGCTTCCTGGCCTGCATCACCATGGGCTTCAACGAGTTCTTCAAGGACGACCCCAGCAAGCACCGCAGGAAGTGACCCCGGGATGACCCCAGAGTGACCCCCGGGATGACCCTGGAGTGACCCCTCAAGTGACCCCTCAAGTGACCCCTCAAGTGACCCCTCCCCGTGCCCATCCCAGCCCTGAGTGGCTTTCAATAAAAGATTTTCCCTGATTCTGGCTGAGTTTTGGGGCTCTGTTCAGTCCCTACTCCAATCCTGCTCAATTTTGGGGTTCTCTTCAGGTTCTCCCCCAGTCCTGCTCAGTTTTGGGGTTTTGTTCAGATTTTCTCCCAGTTCTGGGGTTCTGTTCAGGTTCTCCCCAATTCTGGCTCAGTTCTGGGGGTTCTGTTCAGGCTCTCCCCAATCTTGGCTCTGTTCTGGGGTTCTGTTCATTTTTCCCCCAATCCCGGTTCAGTTCTGGGATTCTCTTCAGGTTTTCCCCCAATCCTGGCTGAGTTTTGGGGTTCTGATGGGCTCTCCCCCAATCCTGGTTCAGTTTTAGGGTTCTGTTCTTTTTTTCCCCAATTCTGGCTCAGTTCTGGGGTTCTTTTCAGGTTCTCCCCAATCCCATCTCAGTTTTGGGGTTCTGTTCATCTTTTCCCCCAATCCCAGCTCAATTCTGGGGTTCTGTTCAGGCTCTCCCAATCCTGGCTGAGTTTTGGGGTTCTTTTCACATTCTCCCCAATCCCAGCTGAATTCTGGGGTTCTATTCATTTCTGGGGTTCTGTTCACTTTTCCCCCAGTCCTGGCTCAGTTTTGGGGTTCTGTTCAGGCTCTCCCCAATCCCAGCTCAGTTCTGGGGTTCCGTTCATTTTTTCCCCCAATCCTGGTTCAATTTTGGGGCTCTGTTCAGGTTCTCCCCAATCCCAGCTGAGTTTTGGGGTTCTGTTCACTTTTCCCCCCAATCCTGGTTCAGTTTTGGGGCTCTGTTCATTTTCTCCTCAATCCTGACTGAGTTTTGGGGCTCTGTTCATTTCCCCCCCACTCCTGGCCACGCTCGGTGTCCACCCCCACCGTGCCCGGCCTGACTCACACCCTCCCTCAGCTCTGTGGGATTTTCCACGGCGTGGCTCAGCCCTGTGGAGGGTTTATTTTGGGACAAATCTGAGCAAAAACAACTCTCGGATGTCCCTTGGAACCTTCTGGCCGGCTCTGGGGTTGGGTTCAGGATTGGTGCCACCAGGGTTGGGGGGCACACCAAACTCCCAGATTCTCCCTAAGTCACCGAAGTCCTCCCCAAATCCCCCAGGTTGTCCCCAAAGCCCCCAAATCCTCCCCAAGCCGCCGGGTCCTCCCAAAGCCCCAAATCCTCCCCAAAGCCCCCCAAGTTGTCCCCAAAGACCCCAAATCCTCCGCAAAGCCCCCAAATCCTCCCAAATCTCCCAGGTTGTCCCCAAATCCTCCCCAAACCCCCCAGGTCCTCCTCAAAGCCCCCAAATCCTCCTCAAATCCCCCAGATTGTCCCCAAATCCCCCAAATCCTCCCCAAAAGCCCCAGACCCTCCCCAACCCCCCCAAATCCTCCCCAAATCCCCCCAGGTTGTCCCCAAATCCTCCAGGTCCTCCCCAAGACCCCCAAATCCTCCCCCCAAATTCCCCGGGTCCTACCCAAATCTCCCAAATCCTCCCCAAAACCTCAAATCCATCTGGGAAGGGTTTGGGAACCCTCGGGGGCTTTTCTAGGATTTGGGGGGCGCTCGGGGGTTTTGCCAGGGCTGGGGGGGACCCTCGGGGGCTTTAGGGGACCCTCGGGGGCTTTTCCGGGGCTCGATGTTGCTCAGAGCCCGTTCCCGGTGCCCCACACGTGCCCGGGCCACGGGAGCGGCTCCGTTACACAACGGAAACACAAAATCGCTGCCAAGAGGCTGGAAAAGGGCAAAAAAAAAAAAAAAAAAAACCCCTCGGCACAAACCCCGGCTCGGCACCAACCCCGAGACCGAACCGAACCGAGCCGGGACCCGGCCGGACCTCGGGGTGGCACCGGGGGGCACCGAGGGGCACCGGGGGGATGCGGTGCCCACCCGCACACCCCGAACCCCGCGGGGCTCTCCCGGCCCTGGCAAAGACCCCGAGTGTCCCCCAAAACCCCCGAGGGTCCCCCCAGCCCTGGTAAAGCCCCCGAGGGTCCCCCAGACCTCCCCAGATGGATTTGGGGGCTTGGGGAGGACATGGGGGCTTTGGGTAGGACTTGGGGCCTTTGGGGAGGATTTGGGGGCTTTTGGGACAACCTGGGGGATTTGCAGAGGATTTGGGGGATTTGGGGACAATCTGAGGGCTTTGGGAGGACCTGGGGGCTTTGGGGAGGATTTGGGGGCTTTGGGGAGGATTTTGGTGACAAAACCGTGGCAGAAACCGCGGCTGCTCCGACGCTCAGGGTGGCAAATTCACCCAATTCGCCCGTTTTTGCTCCTCCTAACCCAAAACCACCGCCCTTGGCAAGCTTGGAGCTCCCGGAGTTTCCTTTCTCCTCCTTTTCTCCTTTTCCAGCCGGCTCCGGGCGGGCTCGGGAGCGTCGCTGCCTCCCCCGGCCGGGAGTGGCTCAGGCGGGGCTCTAAATGCTATAAATGCCCGGGCCTGAGCCCGGCTCCCCTTCCGCCCTGCCCGATCTCTCCTGTTCCTCCTTGAACTCTCGGTGAGTCGCTTTTCCCCCTCCAGATGTTCTCCAGATGTTGCCGGGCGCGGCTGGGGGGGGGGTCCTGCTGCAGGTGCCCAGCTGGAAATGCGGATTTCACCTGGAGAGGGCTGGAAAAACTCCTGAGCTCCTTCCCTTCCCTTTGGAGAAACTCCCGAGCCCCTTCCCTTCCCTTCCCTTCCCTTCCCTTCCCTTCCCTTCCCTTCCCTTCCCTTCCCTTCCCTTCCCTTCCCTTCCCTTCCCTTCCCTTCCCTTCCCTTCCCTTTTTGGGTTTTTTCCCCCCATTTTTTCCCCCAGCTGGAGCCAGGGACAGAACGGAGCATCCCAGGCCTGGCACGGGAGACTGGTCCCTGGTTCTGGGGGTGCCCAACTCCTCTGTCCCCTCCCCATATCCCTCCCCAGATGTTCTCCAGATGTTGGGGAGGTCCTGCTGCAGGTGCCCAGCTGGAAATGTGGATTTCACCTGGACAGGGCTGAAAAAAGATCCCCAGCCCCTTCTTTTCCCATTTTCCCTCCCATTTTGGGGTTGTTCAGCCCGACTGGAGCCAGGGAGGGAACGGAGCATCCCGGGACAGACCCGGGCCTGGCACGGGGGTACCTGGGGGGTGCCCAACTCCTGTGTCCCCTTGTCCCCAGGTTTGTCGCTGTCCCCATGGCGTGTCCCCTGGAGCAGGCGCTGGCCGTGGTGGTCGCCACCTTCCACAAGTACTCGGGCAACGAGGGCGACAAGTACAAGCTCAACAAAGCCGAGCTCAAGGAGCTGCTCACCAAGGAGCTGCCCAGCTTCAGCGTGAGTGCCGGGGTTTTAACCCCTCCAAAACCCGGTTTTTACCCCCTCCAAAAATATATAATATTTTTACCTCTATTTTTTATTATTTCTATTTTTACCTCTATATTTTATTGCTTATATTTTTACCTCTGTTTTTTATTTATATTTTTACATTTATTTTTTATCAGTTCTATTTTTGCCTCTATATTTTATTACATATATTTTTACCTCTGTTTTTTATTATTTAGATTTTTACTTCTATTTTTTTATAGTTTTATATCTCTATTTTTAATATGTTTTTATACCTGTACTTTCACATATTTTTACAATTTTTTTTACCCCTATTTTTTATTATTTCTATTTTTGCATCTATTTTTTATTATTTAGATTTTTACCTCTATATTTTATTACTTATATTTTTACCTCTATTTTTTATTACTTCTATTTTTACATCTATTTTTTATTATTTAGATTTTTACCTCTATGTTTTATTTCTTATACTTTTACATCTATTTTTTTATTGCTTATATTTTTCCCACTATTTTTTATTATTTAGATTTTTACCTCGATTTTTTATTACTTATATTTTTACATCTATTTTTTATTATTTAGATTTTTTACCTCTATATTTTATTACTTATATTTTTACATCTATTTTTTTATTACTTCTATTTTTACATCTATTTTTTATTATTTAGATTTTTTTTAACCTCTATTTTACCTTTTATATCTTACCATTCCCTCCAAAGCCCGGTTTTAACCCCTCCAAAACCCAGTTTTAACCCCTCCAAAGCCCGGTTTATCCTTCCAAAACCCGGTTTTAACCCTTCCTTTTCCTCCCCCGGGTAGAAACAAACCAGCGAGGCGAGCTTACAGAAGCTGATGAGCAACCTGGACTGCAACAGCGACAACGAGGTGGATTTCCAGGAGTACGTGACCTTCCTGGCCTGCATGGCCATGATGTGCAACGAATTCTTCCAGGACCTGCCGGACAAGATGCCCCGCAGGAAGTGAGGGCAGGGCCGGGCACGGCCCCGGGGCCCTCCCGATGTGATCCCGATGTCATTTCAATAAATCTCGATTTAAATGAAGGGGTTTTGCCCTCCCCGGGGGTATCTATGGCTGGGCTGGGGGAAGGTGGGGGTGATGCTGGGTTGGTTTTGGTTTTGGTTTTGGTTCTGGTTCTGATTCTGGTTCTGACTGGGGGAAACTGGGGGTGATGCCAGGCTGGTTCTGGTTCTGATTTTGGCCCTGGATTTGGTTCTAATTCTGGTTCTGGCTCTGATTCTGGTTCAGCCCGGTGTGGATTCTGCATCCCCAAGGCCTCAGGAATCTCCCCCCACGGGCCGCTCCCAGGCTGGTTCTGTCTCTGATTCTGGCTCTGGTTTTAATTCTGACTGGTTCTGGTTCTGCCTCTGGTTCTGGTTCTGCCTCTGGTTCTGCCTCTGGTTCTGGTTCTGGCTCTTCTCAGGCTGGGGGAAGCTGGGAGCAATGCCAGGCTGGTTCTGGTTCTGGCTGTTTCTGGTTCTGGTTCTGGTTCTGGCTGTTTCTGGTTCTGGTCCTGTCTCTGGCCCTGGCTCTGGTTCTGGCTGTTTCTAGCTCTGGTTCTGATTCTGCCTCTGGTTCTGGCTCTACTTCTGGTTTGGTCCAGAGTTGATGCTGCACCCCCGAGGCCTCGAGAACTCCCCTGGGGCCGTTCCCAGGCTGGTTCTGTTTCTGGTTCTGATTCTGGTTCTGGTTCTGGTTCTGCCTGGGTTGGGGCAAGCTGGGAGCAATGCCAGGTTGGTTCTGACTCTGGCTCTGGTTCTGGTTATGATTCTGGCTCTGGCTCTGGCTCTGGCTCTGGTTCTGTTTCTGGTTCTGGTTCTGGTTCTGGCTCTGGTTCCGGTTCTGTCTCTGGTTCCGGTTCTGGCTCTGCCCGGGTTGGATCCTGCACCCCCGAGGCCTCAGGAACCTCCCGGGGCCGCTCCCCGGCAGCCGCATCGGGGCTGACTCAGCCCGGCCCGGCCGCTCCTCCCCGAGCCGCTCCCGTCCCGCAGGGCTGCGGGAACAGCTCCGAGCTGGGATTGATCCGGTTCGGGAACAGCTCCGAGCTGGGACTGATCCGGTTACGGGAACAGCTCCGAGCTGGGACTGATCCGGTTCGGGAACAGCTCCGAGCTGGGACTGATCCGGTTCGGGAACAGCTCCGAGCTGGGACTGATCCGGTTCGGGAACAGCTCCGAGCTGGGACTGATCCGGTTCGGGAACAGCTCCGAGCTGGGACTGAGCCGGTTCGGGAACAGCTCCGAGCTGGGACTGAGCCGGTTCGGGAACAGCTCCGAGCTGGGATTGACCCGGTTCGGGAACAGCTCCGAGCTGGGACTGATCCGGTTCGGGAACAGCTCCGAGCTGGGACTGATCCGGTTCGGGAACAGCTCCGAGCTGGGATTGAGCCGGTTCGGGAACAGCTCCGAGCTGGGACTGAGCCGGTTCGGGAACAGCTCCGAGCTGGGATTGACCCGGTTCGGGCTCAGATCCGAGCTGGGACTGAGCCGGTTCGGGCTCTGTCCCTCACCCCCCGCCCCGCGGATGTCGCGATTGTCGCCTCCCCATCCCCGGTGCTCCCGGATTTCTGCCGCGTTCCTGCCCGGGGCGCGGCCGTGCGGAGCCGCCACTTCCCGGTGCTCCGGGCCAAGCCCATCCCGGTTCCTCCCCCGGTGCCCTTTCCCCTCCCTTGGTCGCGCTGCTGTCTCCAGATGTGCCACGCGCCCCTTCCAGATGTGGCCGTGCCCCTTCCAGATGTGGCACACACCCCTCCACCGCCTTCAGCGATGCCACAAAGGGACAGGAGGAGAGGAAACAGCCTCAGGCTGGGCTCATGGGGTGGAATTTCCTCCTGGAAAGGGCCTTGGAAGGGATGCCCAGGGTGGGTTGGAGTGAGGAATCCTGGGGAACACCTGGATGTTGGTCTGGGTGGGCAGGTGGGGGTCGGGCACACCTGGGTGGTGATCTTGGAGCTTTTCTGACCTCTGGGATTCTAAAATTTAGGGGAAAAAAATTTCTCCATCCTGTCAGAGTCGGTGAACCCCCAGAGAATGGGGCTGAACCCCCAGGCAGGTGAGAGGGGACCTCAAAATCCCAAACCTCACCTGTGGCCATCTGAAGGTGGAATGATGCTGCCCACAGGGATCCACCCTGAATTCATCTCCCTCATGGGAATCCACCTTAAATTCATCCCCGTGTCAGGGATCAACCCTGAATTCATCCCTCCTCACAAAGATCCACCCTGAATCCATCGCACTCACAGGCATCACCCTGAATTCATCCCCACGGTCAGGGATCCACCCTGAATCCATCCCCCTCATGGGAATCCACCCTAAATCCATCCCCAAGTCAAGGATCCACCCTGAATTCATCCCCCTCACTGGGATCCCCCCTAGATCAATCCCCCTCATGGGAATCCATCCTAAATTCATCCCCATGTCAGGGATCCACCCTGAATCACTCACCTGTCCTTGTCCCTTCCTGTCTCCCTGGCACTCACCTGTCCTCGTCCCTGTCCCCATGTGCCCCAGCCATGCCCTCTGCCATCCCCATGGCACTCACCTGTCCTTGTCCCCCTCATCGCCATGGCACTCACCTGTCCTTGTCCCCTCCTGTCCCCATGGCACTCACCTGTCCTTGTCCCTGTCCCCATGGCACTCACCTGTCCTCATGGCACTCACCTGTCCTCATCCCTGTCCCCATGGCCCAGCCACACCCTCTGCCATCCCCAGGCCTGTCTGAACCCATGTCTCTGCGGTGTCCCCGCTGTGTCACCCGTGTGTGTCCCCGTGTCCCTCTGCCCAGCCCACGGGCGTCCCCTTCCCGTAGAGGACGCGCCCGTCCCCATCCCAAACCCCGTCCCTTTGTCTCCCTCTTTTGCAATTTTGGGTTTTTCTGGCAGCAGTTTCTGGGATGAGGAGCCTGGCGGGAGGTGTTTCACCACCGCTGTCATCGTCACTTCCCAAAATCTCCATGACCACACGGGGTGGAGGCTCCTCACCACCCCCTTCCAGACATTTGGGGTTCTGCAGCTCATTCTGGGAATACTGGGAACACTGGGAATACTGGGAATACTGGGAATACTGGGGAGGCTCCACTGGGAGCAATGAGGGGGCTCCAAACCTGAGGGAAGAGCTGGGGGTGATGCCCTGGGTTATCCTTGGGCAATTCCAGCTGCTGGGAAGTGGCACCTCCCAGGAATGGCTGTAAGAGTTCCACCCAGCAGGATTGTCCCCTGGATCCAGAGAAGTGTCCTCGTGGAGTGGTGGGATGTGAATTGGGAAGTGGGAAGTGAACTGGAGGAGAATTTTCAAAACCTGACAAAATGAAATTAAAGTTTTTCAAACGCCTCTCAGTTTCCCCATCTCTGAGTCAGAAAAGGGCTTAATCCAACTCCTGTCCAGCAGCCAAATTCACCAAAAACATCGGTGACAAACCACCTGGGTAAAACCAGCATCATCCCACTGGAGACCCCCACCCAGAGAAGTTCCTCTTCCATCAAACACTTGTGGAACGTTCCAGAACACGCCATCGCTGACCCCTGTTGCAATTTTTGGCGTTTCCTTGTTTTTGCCTGACAAGTTTGGGGCTTCCCCTCCCTGGATAACAGTTCCTGGATGGGGTGAGGAGCCCGAAATCCTCACCTGGGCGTGCTCCATGCCTTGCACAACTCCTGGAGCTCCTGGCAGCTCCAGAAGGGTATAAAAGGTTCCATCCCCAGCTCGGCACCACCAATCCTCCTGCTCCTCCCTCTGCAGAGCCCAGACCTCCTCCGAGGTGAGCCGATCCTTCCTGGTGAGTCCGCGGGCTCGAGTTCCCTTCGATGTTTTGCCGTTTTGTCCCTTTCCCGGCAGGATGAAAACCGACCTGGAGCTGGCGCTGGAATGCGCCGTCAACGTCTACCACCGGTACGCGGCGCGGCGCCCCGTGGACGACTACCTGAGCCTGTGGGAGTTCTCCAGGCTGCTCAAGGAGACGGCTGAGCCCTTCCTGAAGAACACGGTGCCGGTGAGAGCCCGGGGTGGGGGATCAGTGGGGTGGGATCGATGGGATGGGATTGATGGGATGGGAGTGATGAGATGAGATGGGGTGGGATCAATGGGATGGGATCAATGGGATAGGGTGGGATGGGATCAATGGGGTGGGATCAATGGGATCAATGGAATCGATGGGATGGGGTGGGATGGGATGGGTTCAATGGGATGGAATAGGATGGAATGAGATGGGATGGGATCAATGGGATGTGACGGGATCAATGGTATGGGATGAGAGGGGATGGGATGGAATCAATGGGATTGCATCAATGGGATGGGATCAATGTGATGGGATGGGATCAATGGGATGAGATGGGATGGGTGAGAACGGGCCTGGGAGATCCTCTCATTCCGGGGATGCTGGGCAGGGACACCTCCCGCTGGATTGGGGCGCTCAGAGCTCATCTTTGGGCACTTCCTTGGGGATGGGGAAGGTTCACAGAATTCCCGGAATCACTGGGTTGGAGGAGACATTCAAGATCATTGAGTCCAACCCAGCCCCAACCCCTCAACTCAACCCTGGCACCCAGTGCCACATCCAGGCTTGTTTAGACACATCCAGGGGTGGTGACTCCACCACCTCCCCGGGCAGAACATTCCAGAACTTTATCTTGGGAGCTTCCCAAAGTGCGGGAGGGTTTTTTAGGGTTCAGCCCTTGCTGGGTGAGGGTGAGTGACCCCAGACTGACTCTGCTCCCCCCACAGCCCAAAACGACCACGGACAACTACATCAAGCAGCTCTTCACCAAAGCTGACGCCAACCATGACGGCCGCCTCAAGTTCACCGAGTTCCTGACCACGCTGAGCCTCGTAGCCATCGATGCCCACAACAGGTCCCACCAGGGCCCTGGTGGTGACCATGGCCACGACCACGGGCATGGCCATGACCACGGGCATGGCCATGACCACGGGCATGACCACGGACATGGGCACAGCCACCGTCACTGAAATGGAACCACCTCCCATGGTGGCTGAGCCATGGGACTCTGCGTCCCTCTTGTCTGGAACCAAACCTTTGTCACCTGCTTCTACTTGGTGGCATTGAAATAAAATCCCTTCCTTTGAGCACCAAACCCATCTGTGTGCCGTGTCCTGGGATCTGTGGAGAGGGGATGAGGCTCAGCCCATGATTAAACCCAGATTGAATGGGAAAAGCAATGGGAAAGGGAGAGTGGCATGGGGGGTCCTTGTTCTGGGCATAGGGGGGGTCAGGACAAGGTTTTGGGGGGTCCTCAGTGAGCAGCACAGGCTGAGTGGGCTCCTGGAGGGTGTCAGATCTGAGGGTGAAGCTCTAGGAAGTGCCAGAGGTGAAACACAATTCAGGGGGTCCTTCCTCCTTCCTCAGGTCTCTGCAAAGATCCAGCCCTGGAACTGGGTGTGCCACATCCTGGGGATGCCACATCCCAAGAGTGTCACATCCCAGAGACACCAGATCCCAAGGGTGCCACCTCCCAGGCATGTGCAAGATGCTGGGGCTGCTGGACTCCCCAAAACAGTCCAGCAGCCCCAGCAGAGCAAAGCATGAGACCAAGGGGCTCTGGGGGCTCCATCCTGGGAGCTGCCACTCTGCAGAACCAGTCAAACCTTTCATGCTTTGGGACACATCCCCCAGGTCACCACACACCTAAAAGCCACCGTGGGCTCCTGAGGGCTGAAACAGGGGGGGACAAGAGATCCAGGACCTGTCAGTGAGGGGACACTGAGTGAGGAACCCCCGGGCTGAGGAGGCTCCAACATCAGCCCAAACCAGGGCCTGTCCCTGTGGGGTTTGGGTGGCACCTTGGTGACAGAGGACAGCTCTGAATTTGGGGTGCCACCCTCGTCCCTTGAGGCAAATGTCACTCACTGCCACCCCCGTGTCACTTGGGCACCGCTGTCCTTGCAGGGCTGGGCATCGCCAGCTGCTCCCCCACAGGTTTTAGGGAAAAAGTGGGAAAATTGGGAAAGGGGCCCAGTGTGGGAGGTGCATGAGAGCACCAGAGGATTTCCCTGACAGCTGGGGGACGAGGGTGCAATTTGGGGTGGGTGGCACTCAAGTTTGGGGTGAGTGACACTCCAGTTTGGGATCCCAGTTTGGGATCAGTAACACTCCAGTTTGGGGTGGGTGACGCTCAAATTTGAGATCCCATTTTGGGATGGGTGACACTCAGATTTGGGGTGGGTGACACTCCAGTTTGGGATCCCAATTTGAACTGGGTTACACTTCAGTTTGGGATTAGTGACACTCCAGTTTGGGAACCCAGTTTGGGGTGGGTGACACTCCAGTTTGGGATCAATGACACTCCAATTTAACATCATAGTTTGGGGTGGGTAACACTCCAGTTTGGGATCCCAATTTGGGATGGGTGACACTCCAATTCGGGATCAATAATACTCCAATTTGACATCCCAATTTGGGATGGGTGACACTCCAGTTTGAATGGGTGACACTCAGATTGGGGATCCCAATTTAGGATGGGTGACACTCCAATCTGAGATCCCAATTTGGGATGGATGACATTCCAAAATTTGGGATCAATAGCACTCCAGTTTGGGAACACAGTTTGGGATGGGTGTCACTCCAGTTTGGGTGGGTGACACTCCAATTTGGGATGGGTGACACTCCAGTTTGGGGTGGGTGACACTCCAGTTTGGGATGGGTGACACTCAGATTTGGGGTGGGTGACACTCCAATTTGGGATCCCAATTTGGAGGGGGTTACACTTCAATTTGGGATCAGTGACATTCCAATTTGGGATCAATAACACTCCAGTTTGGGAACCCAGTTTGGGTGGGTGACACTCCAATTGGGGATCCCAGTTTGGCATGGATGACATTCCAATTTGGGTTGGGTGACACTCCAATGTGACATCCCAGCTTGGGATGGGTGCCAGCCTGCAAGGAGCGGGACCGGGAAACCAAAAGAACAATGCAGTGAGTCAGGGATACCGGAATAATTCTGTGCAATGCCCCGGGGACACAGGAGCATCCTCAAACAGGAACGGGCACCCCTGGTTCGGCTGGTCCTTCCCTCTTCCTCCTACCCATTGTCTGATTTGAAGCCTTCTCATTGTCTAAATTTAAATCTTCTAATTGTCTGATTTGAAACCTTCTCATTGTCTGATTTTAAATCTTCTAATTGTCTGATTTTTAAACCTTCTCATTGTCTAATTTTAAATATCCTCATTGTCTGATTTGAAACCTTCTCATGGTCCTAATTTAAATCTCATTGTCCGATTTTAAACCTTCTCATGGTCCAATTTTAAATCTTCTCATGGTCCAATTTTAAACCTTCTCATTGTCTGATTTTAAATCTGCTCATCCTTGTCCCTAACATGGGTGACACAGAGGTGACAATTGCAAAACACTCAGTAGTTCCTGCACCAGCCAGGAAAGACCCCGAGCTTGGATTTTCTCCTGGTTTTGTGCCCAGTTTCCTCCAGAAAATCTCTGGAATGAGAGCAGAGTACAAGTAGAAAACAATGGAAAATATTCTGGAAAACAAGTTATAAAAAACAGATGCTGCTTTGTCCTGGGCAGCGTCCAACCAGTTGGCGTTGCAGAAAACAGAAATCACATTAAAAACTCACCCAGGGGACAAAGTCATCCCTGTTTCCATGTGCAACAGCCCAGCAGAAGGAAAATGTGCAAATTTTTCGCCATGTTGCAAAACTCCCCAAGTTTTGGCAACTTCTGCCCGAAAGGCCTTGCCCTCGACACGGAGGTGTGACCAAGCCGGGGTTTTTCCCCTCCCTGAGCCCTGTCAGAGGTGATGGAGGGGCCAAGGACAACATTTCCAAAGCCTGGTGGGTGCAACCAGGAACTGGAAGCGGAGGAATGAGGCCGGGAGGGGCTCAGGGGTTCCCACCTGGCAATTTCCAGGTGCGGGAAATGTGAACTCAAGCCGATGCTTGTGGCAGGTGTGTCACCAGCTCTGATGAAACAGGACCTCAGACAGGTATAAAAAGGCTGTTCCAGGCTCCTGGGTCACACTGACGGATCCAAACCCTCCTCGGAGACCAGGGTGAGTAGGAGAAGGATGGTCCTTGCAGGGAAAAGGATGAGGGAGAAGCAGTTTGGGATCCATCAGCTCAGGGTGATGAGTTCTACTGGGGGTAGAGCAGGAGGTTGGTTTGGGTTGGAAAATGAGGACAAATGATTGGGATTTTGGTGGTGGCACCACTAATTCTGTGTCATAAACGTCCCCACTGGCCTGACCCTGCTTCCCTCACCTGAGAAAGGTCCCCAGGTGTGTTGGAACAAGCTGCTTCCAACACACCTGGAGACAAAGACAAACTGGAGCACCATCCCCAAATGCCCTCATTTTCTGCTCCACATCAAGGAGCTTCAGGTGCCCCCAGGCTCAGGCGCAGATCCTGCTGATTTTTGTCCCCAACCCCTGCAGATCCCTCCAGAGCTCAGCCATGTCCACCAGCACCCACAGCCACGCCGGGAGCCAGCAGTTCCCGGGGAATTGCACCCTGGAGAAGGCCCTGCAGACCGTGGTGGACATGTTCCACCAGTACAGCATCCGCCAGGGTGAGATAGACCTCCTGAGCATGAGCGACTTCACCACGCTGCTGAAGGAGCAGGCGCCGTCCTTCCTGCAGACCTGCGTGAGTGCCTGGGGGACAAACCCATGGGGATGGGGTTCAGGAGCTCCTGGGGGACGGGGGGTTTCTGTCACACCCAGTTTGGGGTCACCTCTGCTGTTTGTGGTGGTGGAAAGTGAATCAGACACAATCCGAATTGCAATTTGAAATTCTTCTGGTTTTTGCAATGCCCAATCGAAAGATTCCACATATGTGGTGCTGGAAAGTGAATTAAACTCACACCTGAACAGTCCAGGAATGCAATTTGTAATTTTCTGGTTTTCGTAATGCCCAGTCAAAAGATTCTCTTTTCAATGGCAGATAAATCGTGAAATCTTTGCCATTTTCATCAATTTTGGGAGAACTTCTAATGTTGCAGTCTCCTCTCAATAAGTTGGAAAGTGGTGCCAGTTTATTTTTGGTGATTCCCAAAATTGGCTCGATCCAATGGATTTCTCCCAAAATTGGCCTGATCCAATGGATTTCTCCTAAAATTGACCTGATCCAATTGATTTCTCACAAAATTGGTGTGATCCAGTGGATTTCTCCCAAAATTGGCCTGATCCAATGGATTTCTCCTAAAAGCCGCTGTGTCCCCAACCACAGGACTTTGGGACAAAATCCTGTCCCCTCTGGGGTTTAATTTGGGGCTAAGGGTGAGGTAGAGGAGGGCTGGGACATCCTGTAGTTTCCAAACCCTTCCCAGGGCAGGGAAGGATCCTGGAAGTGGAGTTTGGACAGGGACATGACCCCTCCTCGTGTCCCCAAATTTAGGACAGGAACCGAGCTGGCTACTTGGAGAAGCTCTTCCAGGAGACCGACCTGAACAAGGACAAGGAGCTGAGCTTTGAGGAATTCACCGTCGTGCTGAGCAAGCTGGCTGATGATGCCCACCGCATCAGCCATGGCTCCGAGCGCTGCGGGCCCGACAAGGATTGAGCCTGGCACGGAAAAATGGGAGAGGGAAGCTTGGGGAGTCGGGTTCTGGCTGCTCCCTGCCCGCGTGGAGCAGCCCCATGGCACAATAAAGCAGCACTTGAAGTTCTCTGAGGTTTTCCTTGTCCATCATATGGGTGGGAGGAGGGACAGAGAGGGGTGGGTGGGGTCACCTGAAGCGATGGTTTTGCCAAAAAATCCTCATGAAGCAAAATGTTCCCAGTGCCCAAAATCCTGTGGTTTGGGATATTGGGATTTCAGGATGACTTTAATATTTTTTAATATTGTGATATTTGGATTAATGATGGTTTTCTGCCATTCTGGGAAAGATGTGGAGTCCAGACACTTCCACATCCCAAAACATCCAAAATCCCAAATCTTGGATCTGAGGCAACACCCAAACACCCCAAATCCCAAATCCTGCATCTCAGGCACTGGGAATGCTCTGCTTGATGACAATTTGGGATTTGGGAAGTAGGGATATTGGGGTGTTGGGATATGGACCCCGATGGGACAAAGTTGCTGCTCCCTTCCCCCACACCAGCCACTCTCCTGCCACTAAAAGTGAGTTTTGAAAGAATTTTGCAACTTTTTGCAACTCAGGGTGTTCCTGTGAGTCCCTGGGCACCTTCCAGCAGGTCCTGGGCTGCTTCTGCTCCAGTTTATGGATCCTTGGCCAAGCTTGGGACTTGGGGACAGCTAGACTGGGAGGTTCTTCTGCAAGAACACTTCAGAGCCACCAAAGTGGTGCTAGCACCCGTCCCTGTGACCCTCAGCACTGCCCCTTGTCCCCGGGCACCTCAGTGACCACTGACCACTCATGCCTGGGGGTCACACCTGGCTCAGGCCACCTTGGAACCCCCTGTCCCCCATCCTTGTCCCCCTGGCACCTCCAGAGTGACCAAAGTGAGTCAAATTGCACCAAATTCCTGAAATTGCACCAAAATTCTGCAACACCGCGGCCACCTCCGGACACCCCTGTTGTGAAATGTCCCCAGTGTCCCCAGATGTCCCGTTCTGCAGCAGAACCTGCATGTTGTGAAAGCAGAGCACCCCAGCAGCCAGGGCTGGGGGCTGGGGATGGAATCCTGGGGTCCTTTCACTTGGGAAAGACCACCAAGATGGAGTCCAGCCTGTGACCTGTCCCCACGTGGTCATCAATGTCCAACCTGTGACCTGTCCCCACCTGGTCACCAACGTCTAACCTCTAACCTGTCCCCACCTGGTCACACAGATCAATGTCCAACCTCTGACTTGTCCCTACCTGGTCACCAACATCCAATGTCCAGCCTTTGGCCTGTCCCCACCTGGTTACCAATGTCCAACCTGTGATCTGTCCCCACCTGGTCACTCAGACCAATGTCCAGTCCTTCCTTGGACACCTCCAGGGATAGCAACTCCAAACCTTCATGATTTGGTCGCCATTTCCAGGAGGAAATTCCTGCTGGAAGGAGCTCCTGAACTCGGCCTTGGCCTTGTTTTGGCCTCCAAAGCCAGGAGACCAAAGACCAACCTGAGATGAACTATGACGAGACCAACCCGAGCTGGGCAGGTCAAACAAACCCCAGACGAGTGTGCTGAGTCAGCAGTCAGCTCATTTTGATGAGGAAATGCTGGAAAATCTCGTTTTGCTCCCAACTTGGCAGCTCGGATCTGCCAGGCCCGTGCTGGGCCTCTGCCAGGCCGAGAAACAACAACACCACAAAAAAGGCCACAAAATCCGGGACAGAGCCCTGAAAAGCAAAATAAAAATTCACCTTTGAGCCACACCTGGGCTCTGCAGCTCAGGGCACACCTGGGGTGGGGACAAACCACCCTTGGCACAGATGGAACGGAGCTCCTGGACCTGGGCCAGGCCGGGAACATGCCCAGATCGTCTTTCATGGGCAGATGGTTGCTGCAGGCTGGGGACGGTCCTGGTGCCACCTGTGCCCCGTGTGACACAGCCAGGAGTGGGTGGCACCCGGTGTTCTGCTCTGGTGAAGGGTCAAATGTCGGGCTCGGTGATTTTGGACGTTTTTGGCAAGTCCTGGGACACTGGGATGGACCAAGGGTGGAGATGTTTTGGGGATGAGCAGGGCAAGGGGGCGATCTTCACCCCCTGACATCAGGAAACAGCCCTGGAAAGGAGGAAAATGTGGGAAAAATCACAAACGTGGAAAAATCCCAGATGTGGAAAAAACCCCAGTTGTGGAAAAGTCTCAGATGTGGAAGAATCCCAAATGTGGAAGAATCCCAAATGTGGAAGAACCCCAAAGGTGGAAAAACCCCCAGTGTGGAAAAATCCCAAATGTGGAAGAATCCCAAATGTGGAAGAATCCCAAATGTGGAAGAATCCCAAGTGTGGAAAAATCCCAGATGTGGAAGAATCCCAGAAGTGGAAGAATGCCAAATGGAGAAAAACCCCAAAGGTGGAAGAACCCCAAATGTGGAAGAATCCACAAATGAAGGGACTTTTGCCCAGAGCTGGTGATGAATCCCATCAGGTGAGGGGACAGTGCCACCCCCACCTGAGCTGGTGACACCCCGAGCTTGCGGGAAAAGCTACAGAGCTCCTTTTGGGGAACTTCTCAGAGCCTTGAGCAATCCCCAGGGCCTTGTGGGGCCATCCAGGAACGGGATGGGGACATTTCACAACGGGGACACCTCATGGCTGGGCTATAAGAGACACTGAGGTGACACCGGCCCCGCAGCCGCCCCAGGGGACATCGCTGAGGTGACAAGATGAGCAAGGCAAGTGCAGGGGGGGCATTTGGGGTGTCCGTGCTCTTTTCCAGGTCATCCGAGGTGTGAGGATTCTCAGGGAGCTTCTCATCATCTCCACCCGAGGGTCCTGGCTGGGCAAAACCATCTCCAGAACCCGTGAGGAGAGGTTTGCTCCTGGAAGAGGTTCCTGGCCACCAAAGAGGCTCCTGGACATCAGATCTCCTGCTCGGTGTCCCCACAGAAGGTTTTGGGGTGTTGTCACCTTCTCTGCGTCCCTTCTGAGGGTTTTGGGTGTGGTCACCTGCTCTGTGTCCCCACAGAGGATTTTCGGGTGTTGTCACCTTCTCTGTGTCCCCACTGAGGGTTTTTGGGGTTTTGCCACCTTCTCTGTGTCCCTACAGAGGGTTTTGTGGTGTTGTCACCTTCTCTGTGTCCCTTCTGAGGGTTTTGGGTGTGGTCACCTGCTCTGTGTCCCCACAGAGGATTTTCGGGTGTTGTCACCTTCTCTGTGTCCCCACTGAGGGTTTTGGGGTGTTGTCACCTGCTCTGTATTTTTGGGGTGTTATCACTTTCTCTGGTTGGTTTATCAGCAGAACCAACCTCAAACCAGGTCCATTTTGGGGCCAAATCATCTCTGAGCTCTCATCTGTAGGAGCACAGAGCCTGCCAGGTCCTTCACCCTCCTTGGATAAAACTCCAACAGCTCCAAAACTGAACAGTTCCTCCCCAGATTTTCTCTCTCAGACTCCTTGGACAAGGAGGAGGTCCTTCAGCCTCCAACAGCTCCATAAAGGAATGTTCCTCCCCAGATTTTCCGGGTTCTAGCCCAGTTATCCCAAATTTTCCTAGATGCAGCCTGGTTATCCCAGATCCTCCTGGATCCAGCCCGATTATCCCAGATTCTCCTGGATCCAACCCAGTTATCCCAGATTCTCCTGGACATTCCGAGTGACCATTTCTCCTGCAGGGCCAGCAGAGCCAGGAGCAGCTGTCGGAGCTGGAGAAGGCCATGGACGCCATCATCGACGTCTTCCACCAGTACTCGCGCCGCGAGGGGGACAGGGACACCCTGACCAAGAAGGAGCTCAAGATGATGATTGACAAGCAGCTGGCCAATTACCTGAAGGTGAGGGGTTGGATTGTCCCCAGGGTTTGGGTTCACCCCCTTCCTGCTCTGCTCTCCTGTCCAACCACCCCGTCCCAAATGTTCTCCATGAAGGAAACCCCACAGCTCTCATCTCTTTCTCTGCAAAATTCAGCCCAAAATCTCCTTTTCCTCCTGGAAGCCACACCCCAAACACTCCCAAAACACCCATTTTTTTGGTTTGGAACTCACCTTCCTAAAGCCAAAGGAAAATTTTGTCTACCCAGGGGAGAAACTCTTGCTCTGCTCTCCTGCCCAACCACCCCGTCCCAAACGTTCTCCGTGAAGGAACCCTCATCCCCTTCTCTGCAAAAATCAGCCCAAAATGTCATTTTCCTCCTGGAAGCCACACCACAAAAAACCACCAAAACCCCCATTTTTTTGATTTGGAACTCACCTTCCTAAAGCCAAAGGAAAATTTTTGGCTTTAGTCCACCCAGGGATAAAACAAGGAGATTTTGCCCTCACTTTGTCCCCTCCTTCTCCTTCACAGCACGTGAAGAACAAGGCCACCATCGACCAGATCATGAAGGACCTGGACGTCAACAAGGACGCCCAGATCAACTTTGGGGAGATGATGCTGCTGGTCACCCCGTGTCACCTGTGCCACCCACGAGCACCTGCACGAGGTGGAGGACCACCAGCACCAGCACCAGCACCAGCACCACCACTAAGGCAGCCCCTCCGAGCAAAATCCTGGAGCTTGGAGAAGCTTCCAGAGCTGAATCCTGCCTTAAAATCCTCCCTCTCCTCCTCCTCTTCCTCCCCCTCTTCCACCCAGCGTCGTGGTTTTGCTGCCAAATAAAGATTTCTGAAGCTCTCCGGTGTCTCTGTGGTTTTTTCTGGGTTTTTTCTCTCCTTTCTCACCTTTGGGACTGGAAATGTGGGATTCACCCCAGCAACTGCTGGCGGCTCACAGAGGTTGGGGTTGCACACAGGATTTGACAGATTTTTGCATTTCTAACTGGAAAAACCCCACATTTTTTGGCCTGGAAACTCTGCACAGATGTCCTGAGGCTGAGCTCTGGTGGTGGGCACGAGCTGGGAGGGAGGATGAGCAATATTATTTGCAGAAAAACCCTTTTTGGGGTATTTTTGCTCCAGAGATGGTGGTGGGCACTTTAAGTTTTGGGCTTAAAAACTTATTTGTGGGCAAGAAGGTGAAAGAACCCCAATCCCTCACCCAGAATATCCCAAAAAAGGTTAATTAGTTAATAATTAGCTGCTTTTCAGAGGGAAAAGCTGGCTGGGAGCTTCCCAAACCCTTTTTGGGGGCAGAAACCACAAGAGCTGATTTCCCAAGGGTGACTCAAAACCCTGAAACCACCCAGATCCGGAAAGGAACCTTCCAGAAACTTCCCCAAAGCAGCAAGAGCTGAAGCAAGACACAATTAATTAACACAAGACACAATTAACACAAGACTTCCCCTGGTTTGCTTCACCCTCAGGTTGCTTCAGCTTCCTCTGGAGGCGGTATTGACATCCAAAATGTCAAATTCCTCCTAACTGGGTCAAAGCTGCTGCAGGAGCAGGGAGTCCTCAGCTCTGTGCCCCCCAAAAATGAGGTGTTTTTAAAATGTTTATTTAAAAATTTACTTTTAAAATTCATTTTAAAATTTAATAAATAATAATAATAATAATAAAATAAATACTACTAATAAATGATATTATTTATATGATAATATATAATATATTACATTATATACATTATTATATCTTAATATATTTTATATGTAATATTATCATATTATATATAATATAATAGTATATAATAATGTACTGTATTATATTAATATACCAGATTATATTAATATACAATATTAATATATTGTATATTATATTAAAATATAATATAATGCAATATTAGATTAATACATTTTATATCATATATTAAATTAATTCATATTATATCGATATAATATATGCTATATACTATGTGCTATGTACTATATAATTTCTAATATATTACACTATATAAAATATAAATTATATATAATATTTAATATTATATATATAATATATAATATATAATATATAATATATAATAATATATAATATATAATATATAATATATAATATATTATATATTATATATTATATATTATATATTATATATTATATATATTAATATGATATGATATTATGATATAATATAACATATTATGATACAATTATAAATAATAGATATTTATTTATTTTTAATAATAACCCCCTAATAATATGTAATTATAATAATCCCCTGAAAGACTCTGTGATTCAGAGGCGAGTCCGGGCTCCTGCTGCCACCTGCTGGGATGTGACATCGCCAGGATGTGACACTTGCAGAGGCCACCAGGTCCTGCCTGAGCTGCCACCGCCAGGGGAGCACCGACTTTGACCCTCATCCGTGGAGAAATTCCCTAAACTTCAAAATAGACTGGAAGCCACAAAAGTGGGAAATTATAGAGAGCAGTGAAGGAGGATCACTTGGTGAGAAGTTGAATTTTGGGATTTTCAGTATGCAAGATGGAGGGCACAAGGTGTCCTCCTGAACTTCTTCTTCATGCCTCTTCTTCATGGGTTTGGTTGGCATTTTGTAATTGGACGGAAAAGTCCACATTGGGATCAGTTATTGGGTTAAAAGGGGAAATAATCTGGGTGTCAGTTCTTAACTGGATAGTTTAGTCTTGAAAAACCTTGGAACAAGAGATTGTTGGCCATTTTGCGCCTCCTAATGAAAAACTGCCAAACACAGTACTGAGATTGTTTAACTGATAAGAAATAATACACACAATAATAAACACTTGAGTCCAAACACAAATTACTGTCTCAAATGCCTTCAATCGAGACCCAGAGAAACCCACAACTGGCAACCCCACAGTGATGCCCCAAACCCAGCCCTGAAGGGAATCTCAAAAAATCCCCCAAAAGCTCTGGAGTTCCCAAAGAGGGAGAGCAGCCAGAGCTGCTACAGCTGCCCCAAAAGCATCCAGGGACCTGCAGGGACTTGCAGCCTCTTGCCTCATCCTGCTGGGGAAGGAAAATTGGCTCCAGCCCTTGGCTTGAGCCCATTTCCAACCCACCGAGGGGCGTGGGTGGCTCTGCAGCTCCTCCTGTCCCAAACCATGGGAGATGGGGAGACAGATCAGCTTGTATCGGGAGATCTCGGTGCCTGAGAGAGGCACGCCCTGGGCATGGAGAGGGATTTTGGCAGCCCCACGGCTCCTCTGGGAGCAGAACGAGCTGGGCTGGGAGCGGCTGAGCCCCTGAGCCTTTGCCGGGTCCTGGGGAGGGATCAGAGCCTGGTCCTGGTTCCATCAGGGCAGGATCAGAGCCTGGTCCTGGGCAGGATCAAAACCTGAGCCTGGTCCTTGCTCCATTGGAGCAGGATCAGAACCTGACCACGGTTCCACCAGAGCAGGATCAGAGCCTGGTCCTGGTCCTGGTTCCATCAGGGAAGGATCAGAGCCTGAGCCTGGCCCCAGATCCATCAGGACAAGATCACATCCTGACCCTGGATCCATTGGGACAGGATCCCATGGTGATCCCTGATCCATCAGGACAGGATCCCATCCTGATCCCAGACCCATCACAGGGCAGGACCCCACAGTGGTCCCCAGGTGTCCCCAGGTGTCCCCACCAGGCCACCACTGCCAAACCCCACAAACCTCTTGTGTTGTAGAGAAAAAACCCCATTTAGGGGATGAGAAATGCAGAATTTTATGTGAGAAGGGCGTTTTTTGGACACCCAAGGAGGTGCTTTGTCCCTGACCTACATCCACCTCTCCAGGTATGCCATAAACATCCTGGGAGCGCAGGAGAATGAGGGAGGCTCCCTGTGCAGAGAACAGGACTGACCAGGAGGAATCTTCTCCTCCTTCTCCTCCTCCTCCTCCTCCTCCTCCCACCCTGATCCTGCCCGGGGCTGCTCCAAGCCTCTCCCGCCACTCCCGGTGCGGATCCAGGTGAGGCTCCATGGCTTCTTTTTGCCTTTAAAATGAATTTTTGCGTTTGAAATGAGCTTTCGTGTTAGTGGGGCTGCCTTAGAACCGGTTTTAGCCGGCGGCAGGATGGGATCAGCTCCTTTGGGCACCTGCAGGAGCTGATTCATTCACCCCACAAGTGCCTGGGAGCAGCTTCCCTCTAATTGAGGCAGGGAAAGTGGAAAAAAATGAGGGGAATCGAGGGGAAAGTCCTAAGAGAAGGTGGGAAAGGAAAATTTCTTTTCATCTCTGGTGAAATCAATCACAGGAAGGCTGAGGTGTGATGTTTGGGATTTTTGGAAAGGATATTTGGGATCGTTGGAAGGGATATTTGGGATTATTGAAAAGGGATATTTGGGATTTTGGAAGGGATATTTGGGATCATTGGAAGAGGTGTTTGGGATTTTGGATGTTTGGGATTATTGGAATGGATATTTGGGATTATTGGATGTTTGGGATCTTTGGAAGGGATATTTGGGATTATTTAAAGGATATTTGGGATTTTTGGGAGGGATCTTTGGGGGGATTTTTCTGCCACCCTGACAGCGTCTGTGGCCTCAGGTTCTGCTCCTCTCCAGGACCGGAGCCATGTCCAGGCTCATCAAAGCCATCACTGACATGATGCAGAGCTCCCAGGGTAATGCCAGGAAGGGCAGGAAATCGGAGACCTTCAGCAGGAGCGAGTTCAAGAAGCTGATCCAGCAGGAATTCGTTCCTGTCAAGGTGAGAGCAGGGGCTGGAGGGGGAAGAGAGGCTGGGAAAGGGACCTGGAATTGTTGGAGCCAGTCCAGAGGAGACCACAAAGGTGATAAAGGGACTGGAGACCTTCCCTGATGGATCCAGCTGGGAATGTTGGGAATGTTGAGACCCCCAGAGCCCCTCCAGGATCTGCAGGGGCTCCAGGGAAGCTTTTCCTCAGGAACTGCAGGGACAGAGAGGCAGGATGGACACACACAGCTGGGGTAATTGGGACGTCCAAACTCTGGGATTTGAGCCCTGGGGATGCTGCAGCCACCAGGGGAGGTCGTTCCTGCTGTCACCACATCCCCCCTCTGCCCTCTGGGGTATTTTGGGGGGTTTGGGGGTCTGCAGCATCCACCTCACATTCTGGGCTGGGTTGGGGTCTCTCCTCTTTTGGGGTTTTCCCTGCAGAGCTCCCGTGCCCCTTCCCCTTTTCCTATAGGGGCATCTCCAGCTCTGCAGCCCTGTTTGGACGGGTTTGGACCCCTCCAGCACCTCGGGCTGAGGGGGTCCCGACCCTTCCCCACCTCGGGAGGGGCTGACGGAGCCGTGTGTCCCCTCAGAGGGTCCCCGAGCAGCAAGTACAGAGCCATCCCACGGCCCTCGGAGCCCGACACGGAGCCCATGAACAAGGAGAGGGGTCCCACCAAACCCTGCATCTACTGAGGGCTCTCTGCTGCTCCTGGCACGTGGAGGGAGCAGGTGAGGGACACCAGGGTGATGTCACCCGTGGGACACCTCCTAAGGTGGGGGCAGAGCCCGGTGTCACCCGCAGGTGACGAGGTATGGTCATGGTGGTGAGCCCAGCCCAGCGGGGAGGGTGGGGATGGAGCAGGAGCTGGGCTCTGCAGGGCGTTTAATCAGCTCTAATTAACCCTGAGCAGTAATTGGGCACCAATCAGAGTGGGCTGGAGGGAGGGACTCGAGTCCTGCCAGGTTTTGTGGGTGAACCCCCCTCCTGTTGGTTTTCCTCCTTTTCCATAGGATTGCTCCGATGATGGGATCTCCTTCCAGGCTTGTCCTGCTCCTCCTTCCAAGCCAGGAACATCCTGGGTTGAGTGAGGACCCATCACCCCCAAGCCCAGCTCCACCAATTTACCTCCATGAGGCAAAAATATCCCCAGGTCTCCTTTGGTCCCCATACTCCAGTGGTGTCTCCTTGGGGTGCTTTAAAAATGCAGCTTTGAAGGCTTGGAGGGGGTGGTTGGGGCAGATTTTCTCTTTTTTTTTTCCTCATAAGAAGCAAAAGATCTCAACCCTGCTGAAATCTCAGCCCCTTCACCCCGGTTATTAACGGGGAAAAAATGAAAAAAATCCCTGGTAATTATTTAATTATTTGATATCAGCCTGTACAGAAATAACAAACCCAGAGTGGCAATTCCTGGGGGAAAATTAAAAGTTCATTTTTGTTGGGAGCTCATCACCAGCTCATTTGGAGTCAGCAGCAGAATTCCCATGTTCTTTTGGGGGGGTAGACACACCAAAAATGCACCTCAGGGAGGTGGATTTTCAGAGAGATTTTTCTGCACTGTAAATATCCCAAAGGCGTTTTTTCCCTGCTTACTGTCCCCTTTCTCACATAAACGGTTGCAACACCACAAAAACCCAATAAAAACCATCCAACCTGGTGCCTGCCTGGATTTAGGAGCCTCCCAGCCCTAAAACCCCATCCTGGGCTGTATCCTTGGTTCTGGAGAACATCCCAGCCCTAAAACCCTATCCTGGCTCTCGAGAACATCCCACCCCCCCAAATCCCCATCCTGGGCTGGTTCTGGAGAACATCCCAGCCCTAAAACCCCATCCTGGACTGGTTCTGGAGAACCTCCCAGCCCTAAAACCCCATCCTGGGCTGTATCCCTGATTCTGGAGAAGATCCCAGCCCCAAAACCCATCCTGGTTCTGGAGAACATCCCAGCCCAAAACCCCGTCCTGGACCATGTCCTTGGTTCTGGAGAACATCCCAGCCCAAAAACCCATCTTGGGCATGTTCTGGAGAACATCCCAGCCCCAAAAGCCCATCCTGGTTCTGGAGAAGATCCCACCCCTAAAACCCCATCCTGGACTGGCTCTGGAGTCCATCCCAGCCCTAAAACCCCATCCTGGGCTGTGTTCCTGATTCTGGAGAACATCCCAGCCCCAAAAACCCATCCTGGCTCTGATGAACATCCCAGCCCCAAAACCCATCCTGGGCTGCTTCCCTGGTTCTAGAGAACCTTCCAGCCCTAAAACCCCATCCTGGGTTGTGTCCCTGATTCTGGAGAACATCCCAGCCCCCCAAAACCCCATCCTGGGCTTATTCTGGAGAACATCCCAGCCCCAAAACCCATCCTGGGCTGCTTCCCTGGTTCTAGAGAACCTTCCAGCCCTAAAACCCCCATCCTGGGTTGTGTCCCTGATTCTGGAGAACATCCCAGCCCCAAAACCCCATCCTGGGCTTATTCTGGAGAACATCCCAGCCCCAAAACCCCATCTGGGCTGCCTCCCAACCTCTGGAGTGCAAGGAGGACACCAACACCAGCAGGATTTAGAGAATGTGACTCTTTATTGGGCACAGCCCAGCCCTTGCCAGGCTCCGGAGGGCACCGGGGTGGCTTCGGGACCCCCGGAAGGTGACAGGGATCCGGTCCCCATGTGATCTTTGCTGCCAGAGCTGAGACAAGGCGATGGCCACGCTGTCACTTCATCTTCTGCTGGGGCATCTGCGGCACCTGCTGCTGCTGCTGCTGCTGCTGGACCGGCATCTGTGGCTTCCCGTGGCAGCTGGAGCCACCAGAGCTGTGACAGCCGCCACCCCCGCCTGAGCTGTGACAGCCACCACCACCAGAACTGTGACAGCCACCACCACCGGAGCTGTGACAGCCCCCAGAGCTGCCACCGGAGCTGTGACAGCCGCCACCACCGGAGCTGTGACAGCCACCACCGCTGGAACTGTGACAGCCGCCGCTGCTCTGGCGCTGCTGCCGGTGGCACTGGTCCTTGTCCTGACGGGAGCACATGGCGCTGTGCTGGGTCACCTGTGGGGACACAGCGGCTGCCAGGGGTTTGTCCTTCCTGCTCCTGCCCTTCCAGGCAGCAGGAATCTCGGTGTTCCTTTTCCCACTCCCAGCCACATCCCACATTTCTGGAATCCCGGTGTTCCTTGTCCCAGTCCCAGCCAGATCCCACATTTCTGAATCCAGGTGTTCCTTTTCCCAGTCCCAGCCAGATCCCAAATTTCTGGATCATTTTCCTCCCTGGCATTATCCCACCGAAGGTGTTGGGGACACCCAGACCCTCCCTGGCTGGACTGGGAAAAGGAATCCCAGCTTTCCTTGTCCCAGTCCCAGCCACATCCCACATTTTTGGATCTTTTTCCTCCCTGGCATTGTCCCACTGAAGGCATTGGGGACACCCAGACTTCCCAAAATCAGAGCCAAGACCCCAGACCCTCCCTGTCCCAGACACATCCCAAATTTCTAGATCCTTTTCCCCTCTGGCATTGTCCCAGCCAGATCCCACATTTCTGGATCCTTTCCCCCCCTGGCATTGTCCCACTGAAGGTGATGGGGACACTCAGGCCATGCCTGGCTTTCCAAAATCAGTGCCAAGACCCAAGACCCTCTCTGGCTGGACTGGAAAAGGAATCTTGGTATTCCTTTTCCCAGTCCCAGCCAGATCCCACCTTTCTGGATTGTTCTCCTCCCTGGCATTGTCCCACCAAAGGTGGGAAGTTTGGAAGCCATGCCTGGCTTTCCAAAACCAGAGCCAAGACCCCAGACCCTCCTTCCACATCCCCACTTCTGCTCCCTCTGAACCCCCGGGCTCCCTCCTCATCCACCCCAGAACAAATCCCAGCCCCGTTCCAGATTTGGGGATCCAAACTCACCCCGCGCAATGGCTCTGGAGCCCCCCAGCTCTTACCTGAGGCTGCTCGTGCACGAAGAGGTGAAGAAAGATGAGAGGCAATGGAGCTTTTGGGGACAGCAGCGCTTTTATACCCTCTCTGCACACCCCACATGGAGAAGCCCCTCCCTGTCCCGTTCATTTAATTTGCCGGTGGCTTTTTAAAATTTTTTTTATTTTTTTTGCCCTCCCCATTTCTGGGGCTCCTGGGGTGACTCACCTGATGCACACTGGGATTGCCTCTCCTTGTAGGTCGCCTTTCCTGTCCACAGAGCTTTAATTGCTGTGCAGGGCTGGGCTGGGGGAGCCGTGGGTGGCCCCGGTTTCCCCAGGTCAGGTTTGGTGTCGATCACACCCCATGAGTGATTCGGGTTCAGGGGGAGAAGATGTCGGAAGATGTCTCATCCCCAAACCACAACTTCCCTCCAGGATGTCCTGAGGTTCTCTGGGCCTGCAACTCCCTAAAAACCAAAATGGGCCCTGAAGTGGCAAAAACAGCTTTGGGAAAGGAGAAAACTCTGATTTAGCAGGAATTCCCTGCATGCTGGGGATGGTGAGGGGAATGTCCAGCGCTGTGGGCATGCGTGGCAAGAGGGGCTGGAGTCGGTCCAGAGAAGGGAATGGAGCTGGAGAGCTCCTGAGGGAACTGGGGGAGCCCAACCTGGAGAAAAGGGGGCTCAGGGGGAATTTCTGACCCTGCTCAACTCTGACAGGAGGGTAAGGTTGGAATCAGGAGGAGTTTTTTCCTGAAAAGGGCAGCCAGGTCTTGGAAAAGGGGTTTGGAGACACCTGGAGGTGTCCAAGGAAGGCCTGGCCATGACCCTCTGGTTGGGGATTGGTGGGGATTGGGCACAGCTTGGACTCGATGGCCTTTGACGGCTTTTCCAACCTCAGGGATTTTAGGATTTGCCTGGAATCACCTTTGGCTCATTCCTCTTAAAACTGGTCAAAACACGGTGAGGCGATGAGGAAACTCCAAGGTTTCCTGCCATTGCCAAGATCTCAAGCAGCTGGAATTCTTATTTTTGGAAGGAATAAACCCTGCCCTGGGTAACGATCCAGGATTGGCAAGGTGCTTAATTATGTGGTTGAGCCTCAACCTGGAAATTAATCCATGGTTTTATTCCAGGTGAGCAGCTCTGGTGCTGCTGGAGGAGGAGGAAGAGGAGGAGGGGGAAGAGGAAGAGGAGGAGGAGCCCTCGGCCACACACAATTGTGGGCAACTGGCAGACCCCCTGTGACTTTCTCCAGAGCTGCAGGAACACCCTTTTTGCATTTCCCCTGATCCACAATTAGCTCCTAATTGTCCAGCAAATCCCGGATGCTCAGCCCCACACAGAGAACTCATGAGAGGCAATAATTTGGATACTCCCTGTACCTTTCTGCTGCGTGGGCTGGGAATTCTTTAGAAGCATGGAGTTTGTTTGGCTCTTTTCTGTCACTGATTATGGAAGACGTTGCAATCGTTAAAAAGAAAGTGAAAAAAGGCTGAAATCTGGATTTTTCCCATCTGGAAAGTGGTTTTATTAGTGTGGAAAGGCTTGGAAAACACTGGGTGGGAAGTATTTTCCTTCCTCCCAAACTCTCCTGCCTTTGATTTGTCATTGTCCATGTTGATTTTATGGAGATGGAGACTGAGTGGTTCCTTCCATCCAAACCCCATCCACATTTGCTGGTGCCGAAAAATTTTGGGAAATTTGGGAGGACAGGGCAGGTGAATGAACCAGGTGAGCAACCTGAAGCTTCTTTTGTGTTGCTAAACTCCTGGCATGATCTAGGACAGTGTCAGGACAAAATGTTCCTGGTTTGGTCGCTACTCTTCAATTGAGTTTTGTTCTGGCCTCAGTGGAAATGTGGTCAATGACCTCTGGGAAAAAAACACTCCAAGGAATTTTGGGCTCTTTGCATCTCCCTGTGTTCATTTCCTCGTGTTTTAATTGCTCTGGGTTTGTTAACAATGGGCACTTCTACATTTTGTGGTTGGCCACCTTGATGTGCCTTGAGTTTTGAGATGGGGGGCTCAAGGCAAACCCCAAATTTGGACCAAGAGCCTTCCCGAGTTATCCCTGCTCCAAAAACAGGGAGTGAGCTGCTGCCTGCACCCTTTTCAGCAATGCCAGAAATTTCTGATCCTCCTGACGCATTTGAGAACAATCTTATCACGGTAACATCCATTTCATGAATGGCAATACCGGAGCAATAAATTACCCAATTCGTTTTAATTACAAGCTGAGAAGAAATTTAGCAGCTCGTTGTGTAACCATCGAGCAACGCCCCTGGCACAACCCAGAGCTCGGGCAGGGCTGGGCACACCATTTCTAGAAAGGCTGGCTGGAGGTTTGCCACCAGCACATGGAGGTACCTCCCTCAGGGGCGGCATTTTGGGGCCAAATGGCAAAAAAAAAGGAAATTCTTTGTCTATTGGACTCATTGGTTCAAAACATCTTGGAAATTATGGATTGTGATGGCTAAAATTAAGTCACAGACTGATCCACACACAACAGTGCCAGCTGAGCAAAGCGTTTATTTCAGCACCCACAGACAAGCTCAGGACAGGTTATAGGACACACCAGGGGAGGGGAAGGACACATTGTCCTCGGGAATTGGAAATTCCTGGGTGCATGCAAAGCTTTCAGAACATGGCACAGGATCCCAGGCACTCCTGTGGATCACCTGCAGCTGGTGGGGTGATCACTTCATGTTTGAGGACACTTGGTAGATTTGCTGCTGGCACTCCTGCTGGCAGGATCCCCCACTGCTCCCATGGCAACCAGATCCGCTGCTGCCATGGCAACCAGAACCACTGCTGCCACGGCAACCAGATCCACCACTGCTTCCATGGCAACCAGATCCGCTGCTTCCACGGCAACCAGACCCGCCACTGCTACCATGACAACCGGATCCACCACTGCTCCCATGGCAACCAGATCCGCTGCTCCTTTGGCAACTGGATCCACCACTGCTCCCGTGGCAACCGGATCCACCGCTGTGGCAGCAGGAGCGTTCCTGCTGGTGGCACTGGTCCTTGTCCTGGCGGGAGCACATGGTTGGAAACCTGCTGGAGAAACTCATCTGTGAGTGAGGGCAATGAGCAGGGACACTGGAAGTGTCCAAGGCTGTGGGAAAGGTTTTACGGCGATTTCTGTGAGCCAGAGAGAAGTTTGAGAAGAGGATCTGTGTTCAAGCCTGAAAGGATTTTCTATCATGGTTGTTGACACAGAAATCAAGAAAGAAAGAAGGAGAAATGAGAGAAATCTGCAACTGCCTGTTCCAATGAGCACTTTGTTTGTCTCTCGTGACAAAAGTGTATTTTACAAGTTTTGTAAAAATGTATAAAAGGCATGCATGGTGTAATCAAAATGGTTTGAAGCCTTCTGAAAATGGAGAGTTGCTTTGTATTGTCTCCGTCTCAACCACAACACAAGGCTGTGTTGGATGGGACTTGGAGCACCCTGGGATGTGCTAGTGGGGGGTGTCCCTAAAATCAGTGAGCAGATTTTAAGGTGTTTTCTATCCCAACCCATTCCATGACTCCATAATTCCATGACTCCATGGTTCTAAGCCAGGTTCTTGAGCAGGAGAAGAGTTATCACCGCACACCGGCTGGTGGTGGCCCCTTTGGTCTTGTATGTCAGAAAAGAGCTGGACAGACTCCAGAGCAAGACCTGCAGAGCCCTCAACCACCTGAGCCAGGAATTTTTACGTTTTCCCACTCAGCAGAAGGACTGAGATGGAGATAGGACATGGAAGAGAAGTCTCCAAGAGGTCAGGATTGAGGAGAAGCTGGAGAGCATTAGGAGAGTAAAAATCGGATGGATCTGGACTCACCTGGATCAGAAGGAGCTCGAGAGGCGATGCTGAGGAGCTGAGATGCAGAGGAGCAACGCGAAGCATGGGCTTTTAAAGGTTGGCTTGGGCCTCTCCTCCGGAAGCGAGCTGGGGCCCCACTGGAGGGACCTGATTGCTCAGCACCCCGAGCACTTGGCTAATTGGGAGTTTTTGCTGTGCTGTTTTGACACACGGAGCTGATCGATATCCTGACATCCCTCTCGTTACTCCATAAAAATGTTAATTGCCCACCACGCCTGGCCCGGTGGGGCGCAGGGCTGGGAGA